CTCTCCTCACCGTGTCTCTCTCCCCGTGTCTCTCTCTCCCCGTGTCTCCCCGTGTCTCCCCGTGTCTCTCTCCCCGTGTCTCTCTCCCCGTGTCTCTCTCCCCGTGTCTCTCTCACCATGTCTCTCTCCCCGTGTCTCTCTCCCCGTGTCTCTCTCACCGTGTCTCTCTCCCCGTGTCTCTCTCCCCGTGTCTCTCTCTCCCCGTGTCTCCCCGTCTCTCCCCGTGTCTCTCTCCCCGTGTCTCTCTCCCCGTGTCTCTCTCCCCGTGTCTCTCTCCCCGTGTCTCTCAGCTGCGTCTCCCGTTCCCGGACGAGGGCTTGGTCTATGACTACCGTGTCTCTCTCCCCGTGTCTCTCTCCCCGTGTCTCTCTCCCCGTGTCTCTCTCCCCGTGTCTCCCCGTGTCTCTCTCTCCCCGTGTCTCTCTCCCCGTGTCTCCCCGTGTCTCCCCGTGTCTCTCAGCTGTGTCTCCCGTTCCCGGACGAGGGCTTGGTCTATGACTACCGTGTCTCTCAGCTGCGTCTCTCTCTCACCGTGTCTCTCTCCCCGTGTCTCTCTCTCCCCGTGTCTCCCCGTGTCTCCCCGTGTCTCCCCGTCTCTCCCCGTGTCTCCCCGTGTCTCTCTCCCCGTGTCTCTCTCCCCGTGTCTCTCTCCCTGTGTCTCTCAGCTGCGTCTCCCGTTCCCGGACGAGGGCTTGGTCTATGACTACCGTGTCTCTCTCCCCGTGTCTCTGTCCCCGTGTCTCTCAGCTGCGTCTCTCTCACCATGTCTCTCTCCCCGTGTCTCTCTCCCCGTGTCTCTCTCACCGTGTCTCTCTCACCGTGTCTCTCTCCCCGTGTCTCTCTCCCCGTGTCTCTCTCCCCGTGTCTCTCAGCTGCGTCTCCCGTTCCCGGACGAGGGCTTGGTCTATGACTACCGTGTCTCTCTCTCCCCGTGTCTCTCTCCCCGTGTCTCTCTCCCCGTTTCTCTCTCACCGTGTCTCTCTCCCCGTGTCACCCCGTGTCTCCCCGTGTCTCTCTCCCCGTGTCTCTCAGCTGCGTCTCCCGTTCCCGGACGAGGGTTTGGTGTATGACTACCGTGTCTCTCTCCCCGTGTCTCACCGTGTCTCTCTCCCCGTGTCTCTATCCCCGTGTCTCTCTCCCCGTGTCTCCCCGTGTCTCCCCGTGTCTCCCCGTGTCTCTCTCCCCGTGTCTCTCTCCCCGTGTCTCTCAGCTGCGTCTCCCGTTCCCGGACGAGGGCTTGGTCTATGACTACCGTGTCTCTCTCCCCGTGTCTCTCTCTCACCGTGTCTCTCTCTCACCGTGTCTCTCTCACCGTGTCTCTCTCTCACCGTGTCTCTCTCCCCGTGTCTCCCCGTGTCTCTCAGCTGCGTCTCCCGTTCCCGGACGAGGGCTTGGTCTATGACTATCGTGTCTCTCTCCCCGTGTCTCTCTCACCGTGTCTCCCTGTGTCTCCCCGTGTCTCTCTCCCCGTGTCTCCCCGTGTCTCTCTCTCCCCGTGTCTCTCTCCCTGTGTCTCTCTCACCGTGTCTCTCTCCCCGTGTCTCTCAGCTGCGTCTCCCGTTCCCGGACGAGGGCTTGGTCTATGACTACTGTGTCTCTCTCTCCCCGTGTCTCTCTCCCCGTGTCTCTCTCACCGTGTCTCTCTCCCCGTGTCTCTCAGCTGCGTCTCCCGTTCCCGGACGAGGGCTTGGTCTATGACTACCGTGTCTCTCTCTCCGTGTCTCTCTCCCCGTGTCTCTCTCCCCGTGTCTCTCTCCCCGTGTCTCCCCGTGTCTCTCTCCCCGTGTCTCTCTCACCGTGTCTCTCTCACCGTGTCTCTCTCCCCGTGTCTCTCTCTCACCGTGTCTCTCTCCCCGTGTCTCTCTCTCACCGTGTCTCTCTCCCCGTGTCTCTCTCCCCGTGTCTCCCCGTGTCTCTCAGCTGCGTCTCCCGTTCCCGGACGAGGGCTTGGTCTATGACTATCGTGTCTCTCTCTCCCCGTGTCTCTCTCACCGTGTCTCTCTCACCGTGTCTCTCTCTCCCCGTGTCTCTCTCCCCGTGTCTCCCCGTGTCTCTCAGCTGTGTCTCCCGTTCCCAGACGAGGGCTTGGTCTATGACTACCATGTCTCTCTCCCCGTGTCTCTCTCACCGTGTCTCTCTCCCCGTCTCTCTCTCCCCGTGTCTCACCGTGTCTCTCTCCCCGTGTCTCTCTCCCCGTGTCTCCCCGTGTCTCTCTCCCTGTCTCTCTCTCCCCGTGTCTCTCTCTCACCGTGTCTCTCTCACCGTGTCTCTCTCACCGTGTCTCTCTCACCGTGTCTCTCTCCCCGTGTCTCTCTCCCCGTGTCTCTCTCACCGTGTCTCTCTCACCGTGTCTCTCTCACCGTGTCTCACCGTGTCTCTCTCCCCGTGTCTCTCAGCTGCGTCTCCCGTTCCCGGACGAGGGCTTGGTCTATGACTACCGTGTCTCTCTCCCCGTGTCTCTCTCTCCCCGTGTCTCTCTCTCACCGTGTCTCTCTCACCGTGTCTCTCTCACCGTGTCTCTCTCACCGTGTCTCTCTCTCACCGTGTCTCTCTCACCGTGTCTCTCTCTCACCGTGTCTCTCTCACCGTGTCTCTCTCTCACCATGTCTCTCTCACCGTGTCTCACCGTGTCTCTCTCCCCGTGTCTCTCAGCTGCGTCTCCCGTTCCCGGACGAGGGCTTGGTCTATGACTACCGTGTCTCTCTCCCCGTGTCTCTCTCTCCCCGTGTCTCTCTCTCACCGTGTCTCTCTCACCGTGTCTCTCTCACCGTGTCTCTCTCACCGTGTCTCTCTCTCCCCGTGTCTCTCTCACCGTGTCTCTCTCACCGTGTCTCTCTCACCGTGTCTCTCTCACCGTGTCTCTCTCACCGTGTCTCACCGTGTCTCTCTCACCGTGTCTCTCTCACCGTGTCTCACCGTGTCTCTCTCACCGTGTCTCTCTCACCGTGTCTCCCCGTGTCTCTCTCCCCGTGTCTCTCAGCTGCGTCTCCCGTTCCCGGACGAGGGCTTGGTCTATGACTATCGTCTTGACGACGGCGGATTCAGCGGCCGCGCTGGAGGCCGAGACGAGGGGGAGGAGGAGGGGGAGGAGGCTTCGCGTCACCAGGTGGGGACGCCTCTAGGTCCGCTCAGCCTTAAAAATGGCGAGGCTGCTGCTGTTGCCCGTTGCTGGAGGCTACCCGGGGGAGCTTTGTCTTTGTGTCTGTGTGACTGCACTTGCCCCAACATCCCTGCTGGAGGCTACCTGGGGTAGCTTTGTCTGTGTCTGTGTGTGTAACAGAGCACTTGCCCCTACAGCCCTACTAGAGGCTACCTGGGGTAGCTTTGTCTTTGTGTCTGTGTAACTGCACTTGCCCCAACATCCCTGCTAGAGGCTACCTGGGGGAGCTTTGTCTGTGTCTGTGTAACTGCACTTGCCCCTACAGCCCCGCTGGAGGCTACCTGGGGGAGCTTTGTCTGTGTCTGTGTAACTGCACTTGCCCCTACAGCCCTACTAGAGGCTACCTGGGGGAGCTTTGTCTGTGTCTGTGTAGCTGCACTTGCCCCTACAGCCCTGCTAGAGGCTACCTGGGGGAGCTTTGTCTGTGTCTGTGTAACAGCACTTGCCCCAACATCCCTGCTGGAGGCTACCTGGGGGAGCTTTGTCTTTGTGTATCTGCTGCTCGTCACTAACAGCACTTGCCCCAACATCCCTGCTAGAGGCTACCTGGGGGAGCTTTGTCTGTGTCTGTGTAACTGCACTTGCCCCTACAGTCCTGCTGGAAGCTACCTGGGGGAGCTTTGTCTTTGTGTCTCTGCTACTCGCCACTAACAGCACTTGCCCCAACATCCCTGCTGGAGGCTACCTGGGGGAGCTTTGTCTGTGTCTGTGTAACTGCACTTGCCCCAACATCCCTGCTGGAGGCTACCTGGGGGAGCTTTGTCTGTGTCTGTGTGACTGCACTTGCCCCTACAGCCTTGCTAGAGGCTACCTGGGGGAGCTTTGTCTTTGTGTCTCTAGTGCTCGCTACCGACAGCACTTGCCCCAACATCCCTGCTAGAGGCTACCTGGGGGAGCTTTGTCTGTGTCTGTGTAACTGCACTTGCCCCTACATCCCTGCTAGAGGCTACCTGGGGGAGCTTTGTCTGTGTCTGTGTGACTGCACTTGCCCCTACAGCCCTACTAGAGGCTACCTGGGGGAGCTTTGTCTGTGTCTGTGTAGCTGCACTTGCCCCTACAGCCCTGCTAGAGGCTACCTGGGGGAGCTTTGTCTGTGTCTGTGTAACAGCACTTGCCCCAACATCCCTGCTGGAGGCTACCTGGGGGAGCTTTGTCTTTGTGTATCTGCTGCTCGTCACTAACAGCACTTGCCCCAACATCCCTGCTAGAGGCTACCTGGGGGAGCTTTGTCTGTGTCTGTGTAACTGCACTTGCCCCTACAGTCCTGCTGGAAGCTACCTGGGGGAGCTTTGTCTTTGTGTCTCTGCTACTCGCCACTAACAGCACTTGCCCCAACATCCCTGCTGGAGGCTACCTGGGGGAGCTTTGTCTGTGTCTGTGTAACTGCACTTGCCCCAACATCCCTGCTGGAGGCTACCTGGGGGAGCTTTGTCTGTGTCTGTGTGACTGCACTTGCCCCTACAGCCTTGCTAGAGGCTACCTGGGGGAGCTTTGTCTTTGTGTCTCTAGTGCTCGCTACCGACAGCACTTGCCCCAACATCCCTGCTAGAGGCTACCTGGGGGAGCTTTGTCTGTGTCTGTGTAACTGCACTTGCCCCTACATCCCTGCTAGAGGCTACCTGGGGGAGCTTTGTCTGTGTCTGTGTGACTGCACTTGCCCCTACAGCCCTGCTAGAGGCTATCTGGGGAGCTTTGCCTGTGTCTGTGTGACTGCACTTGCCCCTACAGCCTTACTGGAGGCTACCTGGGGTAGCTTTGTCTGTGTCTATGTGACTGCACTTGCCCCTACATCCCTGCTGGAGGCTACCTGGGGGAGCTTTGTCTGTGTCTGTGTAACTGCACTTGCCCCAACATCCCTTCTAGAGGCTACCTGGGGGAGCTTTGCCTGTGTCTGTGTGACTGCACTTGCCCCTACAGCCCTGCTAGAGGCTACCTGGGGGAGCTTTGTCTGTGTCTGTGTGACTGCACTTGCCCCTACAGCCCTGCTAGAGGCTACCTGGGGGAGCTTTGTCTGTGTCTGTGTAACTGCACTTGCCCCTACAGCCCTGCTAGAGGCTACCCGGGGGAGCTTTGTCTGTGTCTGTGTGACTGCACTTGCCCCTACTGCCCTACTAGAGGCTACCTGGGGGAGCTTTGTCTTTGTGTCTCTATTGCTCGCTACTGACAGCACTTGCCCCAACATCCCTGCTAGAGGCTACCTGGGGGAGCTTTGTCTGTGTCTGTGTGACTGCATTTGCCCCAACATCCCTGCTAGAGGCTACCTGGGGGAGCTTTGTCTGTGTCTGTGTAACAGCACTTGCCCCTACAGCCCTGATGGAGGCTACCCGGGGGAGCTTTGTCTGTGTGTCTGTGTAACTGCACTTGCCCCTACAGCCCTGATGGAGCCTTCCCGGGGGAGCTTTGTCTGTGTGTCTGTGTAACTGCACTTGCCCCTACAGCCCTGATGGAGGCTACCCGGGGGAGCTTTGTCTGTGTCTGTGTAACAGCACTTGCCCCTACAGCCCTGCTGGAGGCTACCTGGGGAAGCTTTGTCTGTGTCTGTGTAACTGCACTTGCCCCTACAGCCCTACTGGAGGCTACCTGGGGGAGCTTTGTCTGTGTCTGTGTGACTGCACTTGTCCCTACAGCCCTGCTAGAGGCTACCTGGGGGAGCTTTGTCTGTGTCTGTGTGACTGCACTTGCCCCTACATCCCTGCTAGAGGCTACCTAGGAGAGCTTTGTCTGTGTGTGTGTCACAGCACTTGCCCCTACATCCCTGCTGGAGGCTACCCGGGGGAGCTTTGTCTGTGTCTGTGTAACTGCACTTGCCCCTACAGCCCTACTAGAGGCTACCTGGGGGAGCTTTGGCTGTGTCTGTGTAACTGCACTTGCCCCTACAGCCCTGCTGGAGGCTACCTGGGGGAGCTTTGTCTTTGTGTCTGTGTAACTGCACTTGCCCCTACAGCCCTGCTAGAGGCTACCTGGGGGAGCTTTGTCTGTGTCTGTGTAGCAGAGCACTTGCCCCTACAGTCCTGCTGGAGGCTACCTGGGGGAGCTTTGTCTATGTCTGTGTAACTGCACTTGCCCCAACATCCCTGTTGGAGGCTACCTGGGGGAGCTTTGTCTTTGTGTATCTGCTACTCGCCACTAACAGCACTTGCCCCAACATCCCTGCTGGAGGCTACCTGGGGGAGCTTTGTCTGTGTCTGTGTGACTGCACTTGCCCCTACAGCCCTGCTAGAGGCTACCTGGGGGAGCTTTGTCTTTGTGTCTCTGCTGCTCGCTATTGACTGCACTTGCCCCAACATCCCTGCTGGAGGCTACCTAGGGGAGCTTTGTCTGTGTCTGTGTCTGTGTAACTGCACTTGCCCCTACAGCCCTGCTGGAGGCTACCTGGGGGAGCTTTGTCTTTGTGTCTCTGCTGCTCGCTAGCTAACAGCACTTGCCCCTACATCCCTGCTGGAGGCTACCTGGGGGAGCTTTGTCTTTGTGTCTCTGCTGCTCGCTAGCTAAGAGCACTTGCCCCTACATCCCTGCTGGAGGCTACCTGGGGGAGCTTTGTCTGTGTCTGTGTGACTGCACTTGCCCCTACATCCCTGCTGGAGGCTACCTGGGGTAGCTTTGTCTGTGTCTGTGTAACTGCACTTGCCCCTACAGCCCTGATGGACGCTACCTGGCGGAGCTTTGTCTGTGTCTGTGTAACTGCACTTGCCCCTACAGCCCTGCTAGAGGCTACCTGGGGGAGCTTTGTCTGTGTCTGTGTGACTGCACTTGCCCCTACAGCCTTACTGGAGGCTACCTGGGGAAGCTTTGTCTTTGTGTCTCTGCTGCTCGCTACCGACAGCACTTGCCCCTACAGCCCTGCTAGAGGCTACCTGGGGGAGCTTTGTCTGTGTCTGTGTGACTGCACTTGCCCCTACATCCCTGCTAGAGGCTACCTGGGGGAGCTTTGTCTGTGTGTGTGACTGCACTTGCCCCTACAGCCCTGCTAGAGGCTACCTGGGGGAGCTTTATCTTTGTGTCTGTGTGACTGCACTTGCCCCTACAGCCCTGCTAGAGGCTACCTGGGTGACCTTTGCCTGTGGCTGTGTGCGTGCAGGTGCGATGGGTGGGATGGATGGTGGGGGTGGCGGAGTTGACGGTGGCACCGGGCACTCCCTTCGCTGACATTGTGGTGCCCACCATGGACACAGTGAGGATGTCTCACCTTCTTCACCTGCTGCTCACCAACCACAAGCCGGTGAGCAGCTCACCACTCACCACTCACTCACCACTCACCACTCACTCACCCACCCACCCATCCACCCACCCACCCACTCACACACTCACTCACTCACCACTCACTCACCCACCCACTCACTCATCACTCACCCACTCACTCACTAACTCACTCATCACTCACACACTCACTCACTCATTCATCACTCACACACTCACTCATCACTCACCCTCACCCACCATGGACACAGTGAGGATGTCTCACCTCCTTCACCTGCTGCTCACCAACCACAAGCCGGTGAGCAGCTCACCACTCACCACTCACTCACCACTCACCACTCACCCACCCACCCATCCACCCACCCACCCACTCACACACTCACTCACTCACCACTCACCCACCATGGACACTCTGAGGATGTCTCACCTCCTTCACCTGCTGCTCACCAACCACAAGCCGGTGAGCAGCTCACCACTCACCACTCACACACTCACCCACTCACTCATCACTCACCCACTCACTCACCCACTCACTCATCACTCACACACTCACTCACTCATTCATCACTCATCACTCACTCACCACTCACTCACCACTCACTCACTCATCACTCACACACTCACTCACTCATCACTCACACACTCACCCACTCACTCACACACTCACTCACCACTCACTCATTCATCACTCACTCACCCACTCACCCACTCACTCACTCACTAACTCACTCACTCACCCACTCACTCACTCACCCACCCACCCATCCACCCACCCACCCACTCACACACTCACTCACCACACCCTCACCCACCATGGACACTCTGAGGATGTCTCACCTTCTTCACCTGTTGCTCACCAACCACAAGCCGGTGAGCAGCTCACCACTCACCAGTCACTCACCACTCACACACTCACTCACTCACCACTCACACACTCACTCACTCATCACTCACCCACTCACTCACTCACCACTCACTCACTCACCACTCACACACTCACTCACTCATCACTCACTCACTCATCACTCACTCACTCACCACTCACCCACTCACTCACCACTCACCCTCACTCACCATGGACACTCTGAGGATGTCTCACCTTCTTCACCTCCTGCTCACCAACCACAAGCCGGTGAGCAGCTCACCACTCACCACTCACTCACCAGTCACACACTCACCACTCACACACTCACTCACTTACTCATCACACACTCACTCACTCACTCACCACTCACCCACTCACTCACTCATCACTCACTCACTCACCACTCACCCACCATGGACACTCTGAGGATGTCTCACCTTCTTCACCTGCTGCTCACCAACCACAAGCCGGTGAGTAGCTCACCACTCACCACTCACCAGTCACACACTCACCACTCACCCACTCACTCACCCACTCACTCACTCACCACTCACTCACCCACTCACTCACCACTCACCAGTCACACACTCACTCACACACTAACTCACTCACTCACCACTCACACACTCACCAGTCACACTCACCACTCACCAGTCACTCACCAGTCACACTCTCACTCACACACCCACTCACTCACTCACCACTCACCCACCCACTCACCCACCATGGACACTCTGAGGATGTCTCACCTTCTTCACCTGCTGCTCACCAACCACAAGCCGGTGAGCAGCTCACCACTCACCACTCACCAGTCACTCACCACTCACTCACTCACCCACTCACTCACTCACCACTCACTCACCCACTCACTCACTCATCACTCACCCACTCACTCACACACTCACTCACCACTCACTCATTCATCACTCACCCACTCACCAATCACTCACCCACTCACTCACTCACCACTCACTCACTCACTCACCCACTCACTCACTCACCACTCACTCACCCACTCACTCACTCACCACTCACCCTCACCCACCATGGACACTCTGAGGATGTCTCACCTTCTTCACCTGCTGCTCACCAACCACAAGCCGGTGAGCAGCTCACCACTCACCACTCACTCACCAGTCACTCACCAGTCACACACTCACCAGTCACTCACTCACTCACCACTCACACACTCACCACTCACACACTCACTCACTCACCACTCACCCTCACCCACCATGGACACTCTGAGGATGTCTCACCTACTTCACCTGCTGCTCACCAACCACAAGCCGGTGAGCAGCTCACCACTCACCACTCACTCACCACTCACCAGTCACACACTCGCTCATTCATCACTCACCACTCACTCACCCACCCACTCACTCACCAGTCACTCACCCACTCACTCACCAGTCACACACCCACACAACAATCACTCACACACTCACTCACTCATCACTCACCCACTCACTCACACACTCACTCACACACTCACTCATTCATCACTCATCACTCACCCACTCACTCACTAACTCACTCATCACTCACACACTCACTCACACACTCACCACTCACCACTCACTCACCACTCACTCACCCACTCACCACTCTCACTCACTCACTCATCACACACTCACTCACTCACCCACCCACCCATCCACCCATCCACCCACTCACTCACCCACTCACCACTCACTCACCACTCACCCTCACCCACCATGGACACTCTGAGGATGTCTCACCTCCTTCACCTCCTGCTCACCAACCACAAGCCGGTGAGCAGCTCACCACTCACCACTCACTCACCAGTCACACACTCACCACTCACCCACTCACTCACCCACTCACACACTCACCACTCACCACTCACCAGTCACCCACTCACCCACTCACTCACTGACTCACCCACTCACTCATTCATCACTCACTCACCCGCTCACTCACTCATCACTCACTCACTCATTCATCACTCACCCACTCACTCATTCATCACTCACCCACTCACTCATTCATCACTCACCCACTCACTCATCACTCGCTCACTCACTCACCCACCCACCCACCCACTCACCACTCACTCACCACTCACCCTCACCCACCATGGACACTCTGAGGATGTCTCACCTCCTTCACCTCCTGCTCACCAACCACAAGCCGGTGAGCAGCTCACCACTCACCAGTCACTCACTCACTCACTCACCAGTCACACACTCACCACTCACCCATTCACTCACTCATCACTCACTCACTCACCACTCACACACTCACTCACTCATCACTCACTCACCACTCACCACTCACTCACCACTCACTCACCAGTCACACACTCACCACTCACCCATTCACTCACTCATCACTCACTCACTCACCACTCACACACTCACTCACTCATCACTCACACACTCACTCACTCATTCATCACTCATCACTCACACACTCACCCACTCACTCACTCACCACTCACTCACCACTCACTCACTCACCACTCACTCACCACTCACTCACTCACACACTCACTCACTCACCACTCACTCAGCCCCTCACTCACTCACACACTCACCCACTCACTCACACACTCACTCACTCACCACTCACCCACTCACTCACACACTCACACACTCACTCACTCACCACTCACCCACCACTCACTCACTCACCCACCCACTCACTCACCCACCCACCCACTCCCTCACCCACCCACTCCCTCACCCACCCACTCCCTCACCCACCCACTCACCCACTCACTCACACCCTCACCCACCCACTCACCCACCCACTCACCCCCTCACCCACCCACCCACTCACCCCCTCACCCACCCACTCACCCACTCACCCACTCACCCCCTCACCCACCCACCCACTCACCCACTCACCACTCACCCACTCACCCCCTCACCCACCCACCCACTCACCCACCCACCCACCCACTCACCCACTCACTCACTCACTCACTCACCCACTCACCCCCTCACCCACCCACCCACTCACCCACTCACTCACTCACCACTCACCCACTCACCCCCTCACCCACCCACTCATCCACCCACTCACTCACCCACCCACTCACCCACTCATTCACTCATCACTCACTCACACACTCACTCACTCATCACTCACTCACTCACCCACTCACTCACTCATCACTCACTCACACACTCACTCACTCATCACTCACACACTCACTCACCCACTCACTCACTCACACACTCACTCACCCACTCACTCACTCACACTCACCCACTCACTAACTCATCACTCACACACCCACTCATTCATCACTCACTCACTCACTAACTCATCACTCACTCACCCACCCACTCACTCACTCACTCACCCACTCACTCACTCATCACTCACTCACTCACCCACTCACTCACTCACTCACTAACTCACTCACCCACTAACTCACTCACTCACCCACCCACCCACTCACCACTCACTCACCCACTCACTCACTCATCACTCACTCACTCACACACACTCACTAACTCACTCACTCATCACTCACCCACTCACTGACTCACCACTCACACACTCACACACTCACCCACTCACTCACTCACTCCTCACTCACACACTCACACACTCACTCACCACTCACCAGTCACCCACTCACTCACTCACACACTCATACACTCACCCACTCACTCACTCATCACTCACTCACCCACTCACTCACTCATTCATCACTCACTCACCCACTCACTCACTCACTCACTAACTCACTCACCACTCGCTCACCCACTCACTCACTTACACTCTCACTCACTCGCTCATCACTCACTCACTCACTCACCACTAACTCACTCACTCACACACTCATCACTCACCCACTCACTCACTCATCACTCACCCACTCACTCACTCACTAACTCACTCACCCACTCACTCACTCATCACTCACACACTCACCCACTCACTCACTCACTCACCCACTCACTCACTCACACACTCACCCACCCACTCACTCACACACTCACTCACTCACCCACTCACTCACCCACTCACTCACTCACCACTCGTCACTTACCCACTCACTCAACACTCACTCACTCACTCACCCACTCACTCACACACTCACCCACTCACTCACACACTCACTCACCACTCACTCACTCACACACTCACTCACTCACCACTCACTCACTCACCCACTC